TGCTGCTCCACAGTTGTTGAATTTTGCAATGTAAATATCACTATCTCCTCACACGCACTGCTGCATCAATTGGATGGAACACACAACTGCCTGCTTCTCTCCTGCATCATGTGCGGGTGCCCCGCATATGCACGCAACTATGCCAGACAGAACATTCACATCCCTAGATTTTCCACTACATTATCCCAAAGCAGCATATTCAAATTTCAACTGCTTTCGTTGTTATGATGTTTTATACCTTTTCATTTGAGCACCCTGTATATATACAATGCCCACCATTTATGAAACTTATTGGTTTATAAACTCAGCTGCTTCTTACATTCAGATTTCCAGGAACCAAAGTGAATATATACTAATCAATAGAAAAACACCATTTAACTCATTTTCACTGCTTTTGAAACTCGGATTCAAAAAAGACTAATTCTTCAGTACCAGATTATTCTACTTGTACTACTTTACTACTATACTACTTAAAGCTTTTTGTATTTAATCCATTAATGTATGGTGGACCATGTATTGTGGCTTTATCGTTCAAATATATAGTGCTTTGATAAAATGAGTTTGACTGAAATTTTTCTATACCAGTAACAGTGTTTTTCAAGTTCTTTTTCTGCATTGAACTTTAAAGGGCAGAATTTCCTCAGCTTAAGGGTGACAAAAACAGTTGTCCAAGCAGAGGTTCTCTACCTTTTTTTTTTCTTTTGGCCTCACGCACTCTTTTCACCATTGCCAGACAGTCCTTCCTTTCCCCATCCCTTGCCAAAACTTGAAAAACACATATACATTTACACCATTTTTTAATGTGTTTTATAAACAAGAAAAAGTATAGAAAATATTGACAAATACCAAAAGTTGAGTAAAATACTTTTAATGTTCATAAACTAAAACTAAATACTTAACAGGTAAATAAAAGACTGACTGCAAACTGACTGCATTATCTCATGAAACTATGAAATTCTAGAACCCTTGCTCTAGACACATTGCTAATGTGTGGTGGTTCTGTATCCCATTGGTTAAAGGTTTCCATGTTCAAAATTAACCTTTTTGGATAGATACATTATGTTCACAGAAATTTATAAAAATTTTGTGAAAGACTAATTCTTCAGTACCAGATTATCCTACTTGTATCTATCAAAGCCCTTAGCTGCTATAAATTAACAGTTTTTGATTGAAAAGGAAACTATATATGTATTTTGAAGAAAAAGCAAAGAAAAGAAAGCATTGGTCATGCTTGTAATCATGAAGTGACAGATCAACTAAATGAACAAAGAAAACCTTTCTGCTGGCTAGAAATGTTAAGTTTTGAAGTTTGAGCATATCACTGGATTACATATTAAACTTATTGTGCACTTAATTTGTAATATGTCGAATGCTTAGCAGAAAAAACCCGACAGAAGTGGATAAATTATTAAACAATTTTGATGCTCTTAGCAATTGCTGCTAGAGTAGACTGCATTTAAAATGGGAAGTTCTCAAACAGCATTGAGCTATTTACTGTAACAAGAAATTATAATTAATGAAGAAATAATAAAAAATGAAAATGGATGAAGGAAGTAAGGGGGGACAGAAAATCGCAAGATGTTGAAACTACTTTTCTAGAATGGTTTCAAGGCTATAAAATTAATAATAGTTTCTCTTTCTAGAGCATTTTTCACTAATTCGCTAAATGGTAGCAGAAAATTTTATACTAGCTAAGATAAGGCTCACAAGTTGGACAAAGTGTGTAGAGAGAAGGAAGATCACATGCAGTTGATAGCTGGATACAAAACATTTTACTTCAACTTATAAATGAATACAAGTTGCACAAAATTTATAATACAGACAAAACTGGACTACATTACAGAACATTATTAAAACACACATTAATGTTTAAAAGTGAAACAGCTTGCTGAAGGAATGAATTGTTGTGTTATTAACATGCAGTATGGATCCAACAGTTAAGAAGGCAGTATTGATTATTTACGAAAGCAGAAAAACTTGATGTTTGAAAGGAATCACTTGTGGATGAAAATTAGATTTTTTCAAATGTTATTACTGAAAAGATGTTAAAAAAATGATGAGCAGAATTGAATTTTGTGAAAACACCCTTCAAAGGAGATAAGCAAGTTGATACCCTTGCTAGAGGCCATGTATATTACAGTCCATATCTTAAAATCGGTTAAAAACGATTTTCAAAAATGTGATTTTGATGTAAAAGAAATATTAGAAAAGTCCTTATAGTTAATATTTGAGACACAGTGAATGAAGTTTCATTTTTTAATATTTATTTCTTAATGTGTCAATTTGTAAACATATTGAAGCAGTGTGTGTAAAAACTAATTATGAAAGTGTTAAAATAACTGCAGAAACTGACAGGAAAAGGGATGCAGAAAAACGTGATATGCCAGCCTTAATAGAATCTATAAAAGCGCTATAAATTCTAAGAAAATCTCTTGATCTGAAAAGTGCTGAACAAGAACTACCAGCAGTTTTACAAAATTGAGAATACAATTGAAAAATTGTTGTTGAACAAAATGAAACAAATGTAGATAAAATATTTTTTGTAAGAAATACAATTTCATCAAAAACATAATTATAAAAATGTTTTCATTAAAAACAAAGAGTTAATTTAAAAATGTAAATAACTTAATTTCAGCATTATTTTTTAATTATTATTTTAAGATTAATTCTTGAATTGTAAAACTGATATCACGATTTGCAATACACAAATTACCATCGATTAAACTCAGCCACTTTTTAAACTCCAATATGTTTGGAACGGAAGTGATTTTAATAAGCCATGGATACTGTATTTCTTAACTCATTTTTACTTTTATTTATTTTCAATAATGCATCTATTTCATGTAATTTAGATCATATCTAATTATTAATTTTTTAAGAATTTATAGCAATTGTGTATTTTATAAAAGACATTTCTAATATACTGATTCAGAAGTCAAACAACAAAAATCAGCGTTAATTCACAAAATTTTCACAGGACTAGTTTCGATGGTTTTACCGAACCATCATCTTCAGCTGCAAAACCGCAAATGAACAAGATAGGAAATAATGTTTAGATAAGATAAGAAAGCCTGGACAAGAATAAGCAAGTGGCGCCATCTGTTGGCGAAACCAGAACTAAAACATAATTTCTCTAAAAGCCGAAGGCAAATTTGGATTGGAATTAGGATCGTTAACTAGAACAGAAAGATTTTTATGAATGTGAAATGCCTCTAGAAAATCCAGTTCTCCAATGGAAGATGTTTTTTGAATAATTTGGCAGCAGAAAAATTGAAAGTGTGATTTTCGGGACCAACAATGTTGAGCAACCAGAAGACTTCTTGTTTCCTTTTTTCTAACATATGCCTCATGTTCTTTGACGCGAAATTTTTAAGGCTCTCTTAGTTTGGCCAATGTAAATTAAACCGCACTGGCAAGGAATCCTATAAATACCCCAGGAATTCATATCCGGAATGGGGTCCTTGAGTATAGAAGTTGGAATTTTATTGATGGGAGAGTAAACAACCCGAAAGTTAAATTTCTGCAAAAATATGTGTGCAACTTTATAGCTAATTGATGGAAAGAAGGGAATGACAACATAATTTTTATAATCTCCTAAAATAAGAGTGTGGCTTTTTAGTGTGTTGAGATGAGAATTTTTTAACTGCTTGATTAATAATGTTGGGTGAAAAGCCCCCTGTCAATAGCTATTGCTTTTAAATAATTTAGTTTTCATCAAGGGCTAGTTTGGAGGAGCAAACTTGAAGAGCACGGAAAACATAGGAATAAAATGAAAGCTAACTTTTGTTTAGTCGGATGACATGATTTAAAGTGTGGTGGAAGGCAAACCGATGAAGGTTTACGGTAAACTGTAGTACTGAAGTAACCCAGGAAGAAGTAGTTATCTAAACATTATTTCCTATCTTGTTCATTTGCGGTTTTGCAGCTGAAGATGATGGTTCGGTAAAACCATCGAAACTAGTCCTGTGAAAATTTTGTGAATTAACGCTGATTTTTGTTGTTTGACTTCTGAATCAGTATTTATTCGGCGTGTTATTGTGTCTTAATTACATTTCTAATATGCTTATTTATAGAATAATTGTTTACCTCTCTCCATTTTTTATTAGCCCAGAAGGGCTATTAATTTTAAAACTGCATTTTGCGTAGATTCACTTTTCAAACTGTTGCTACCAAATATTATTGCTATGTATTATATTTAAAGAAACCAAATAATGAAGAATCTGCATGAATATTTCTTGCATTGTGAAGAAACAACGGTACCTAGAGCCATCAAATTCTGAAAAATTTAGTCCTCCAACCGAACATGGGCACTTGGAAGCCCGGATTTTGAATTTTGAATCTGTTGTAATATCTATTTAAAATTTTGTAAAACTTCAATGAATTTTTGATAAACAAACTCAACGATTTCAAAGGGAGCAATGGCAACACTGTACGGAAGGAAACATTTTTATCTCTGGTGTGCGAGACCAAACCTTGGAAATTCTAAAGATATACTATTTTGCTGCTGTTCAATTGAATTTTATGTGTTTTAAGTGCAAAGAACATGATATTACTCAATAAAGTTAACACACAAAATGTTAAACACTTTTTTGGGTGTAATATAAAATCTGAATGCTTTCAAATTTTTAAAAAAAAATATATTTATTCTTTTTTCTCTTTATGAAAAATTCTCTTATGATATAAAAAGGTTTTCCATTTTTGTCCTTGCAAATCTGAAATATTAGTTAATATGTCCATCTTCACATATTTTTTATATAATGGAGATGCTAAATGAAGAAAATGATAGGTTTGGTAATCCATCTGCATGACCCTTTTTAGTAATCATGTTCTCGAGAGACTTTGTTAGTAAATTCTGAAAATTTATTAGCATTTTTTATAAAATTCAAAAAGTATGTTAAAAAAAGTCTTCTTTTATAACAAAGGTTGTAAATCTCTTAACATGTCATTGAAAAACGAAATAAAATGCACATTAATTAATATCTTGAATTTCTATGTTACAGTTAAAGCCTGAAAATCTTGCTAAATTAGGTATAAAGAAAAAGACAGTTACTCTGGAAGAAGAGTATGAGGTAATTCAGGGAGTTTGCTTAAATTATCTAACATTAAATAATATTTTGTAAAGTTTATATATTTATCTGTTATTATTATTGTTTCTAAAGCTCTGATTTTGTTTTTAATAGAAACTTAAAAAATTGGACTTAGATTCATGGGAGAATATTCGAGGTCCTAGGCCATGGGAAGAGCCTCAGCAAATGCCTCCAAAAAAGAAGCAATAATATTATGTATTAGCTATTTTTATTTAGTTATTTTAATAAAATTGACAAATATAACAATTTTTTAATTCTTTTCCTCCATAGTTACAAATAATTTTTCACATATAACATTTAATATTCCAATGGTGCCCTATCTTCTTATGTCTGATGATCATATAAGTTGCAGATCATCAACTTACATCACAATCTCGTGAATGGTTTTTTTTTTTTTTAGTTGATGTGTGTTTAGTGAAATTCATCTCAAGTAGATGATGATGAAATATGTAAAGCGTTGTAGCCTATGATGAAAAATCAGTTTTTACAAAAGACACTTACAGACTTTTATATGCATGCAGTTTACTATATCTAAAGAAATGCTTTTTTTTTTTTTTTTTTTTTTTTTTGTGTGTGTGTGTGTGTATGTATGGAGGGTAACAGATGATTAATCAGTCTGAGAGCTAGGATCAAAAAAGTGCACCAACATCCTATTTCCTTGTTTTTCTTAAGAAGAATCAGGTTTATAAAGAATCATTGGATGAATTACCTCTTCTAAAACAAGGGACTAGAGTCTTAAAGGGATTATGTGAGCAGGCCCTGAAGGTCAACTGTTTAGCAGTGTAATCACCAAAGCAGAATGGACTTTTTTCATCCATCCTTTTTTTTTTTTTTTTGAGTTCTTTCTCCATTTGAGATAGAAATTCTAAACATTTTTTCCAGAAATGATCAATGATTTACATAATTATGCAGAAAGTTTGCAATATTATTTACTATTTTAATATATAACTAGAGATTTTATGGGCTCTTTCATAGAAGGACACTGTGCAATTTATTGCTGTGTGTTTTTACTTGACAAAATGTAACAAGTACAGCTAATTATTAGAATCATATTACGTGGCAGTTTAAGTGAGATTTTGGGATATTTAGATGGTATCATAGTTAAATCTCTATGGTGCATAATTTTTTAGATTAATTAAAAGCTTATTAAGAGTGTGATTTAGCTGGCTTTATTTTCTATTGAGCAGTTAAGAGAAATCTTTAAATAGATGTATAAGGCTTTCATTAAATTTTTATTCAAAAGGGAGAAATAAATTAATTTGTTTTAAATTAGCATTAGTTACATATAGAGTATAAATCAAACTTTTTCCACTCACAGTGAATGTATAATAATCCTTATCAATTGCTTCATTTATAGAAGAAATATGAATTCTTAAAATATCTATATATTTGGTTTTTTGGTATTTGCCATTACAGTACCCAGCACTTGTTAAAATCTCTTCTGTTCCAAACTTATATGAGTTTAATAAATCTTAATTTCAATATTGCAAATTATGGTATCAGCTTAAAACTTAGTGAGTATGAGAGTAACTAACAATTAATCTAATATTTAATACCTAAGTTATTAATTTAAAATAAATGTTAAACTGCTCACAAGTATTGGAAATTTATTTATTATTTATTATTTTTAATAAAAACATTTTAGAATTACATGCCTGTTGAAGTTTTAAACTTTTACAAAGAATTTCTCTATCGATATTTGTTTTAAATTGTTCGTCAAAAGTCTTTCAATTATATTTTTAAGTTTATAAAACTGCTGTAGCTTTTCTGGTCTGCACCGTTCAATTCAAGAGTTCTTAGAATTTGCAATGCTTTTCTCAGTTCAGCTGTGGTTGGCATGTGGTTGCTTTCTTCTGTATCTCTTTCACTGTAAGTTTCTGCAGCTGTTTAAACACTTGCTATAATTTCATAGTCGGTGTTTTCACATGCTCTCTCAATATTATGATCAGTTGCAATATATTCTAAAAACGAATCTTAATTAAATGTTCAGGACAATATCAGAGGGGTGTGTACAGCACAGTTGTTTAAGCCTAAAATTATTTTTTCATTTTTCAGTTCTATATTTCATTTTAAAAGGAAATCAATAAAAATACTGCTTATCATCCACGAGCTCTTGTTATAATGTTAACCCTCTAATGGCCATGGTAGCATATTTGCTACCATATATTAAATGCCATGTTATTATACAAGGAACATGATGAAATGTAATTTTCATGTCATAAATTTATAGATTGAACCTTTCTCATGTATTATTAGCAAATTTTAGGCATAGATAGCGGCACCAGCTTAAAGGGAAAAAAAATAGAAGAAGCATGGATACAGCAAACAATGCAAGCACCTTTTCAGATGTAAGTTGTTTGTTTATTTTACAAACATTTTATTAGTAAAGCAGTTAATAATTACTATTTATATAAAGTAAAAGAGTGAGTGTATGACACAGTATAAAATAACTTTTACAAATCATTGTTTTTAATGGCTAAAATGTATTTTTAAAATCATGGTAGCAAATCTGCTATCATGGGCATTCGTATATCTAAGCCTAGCAGTTCTCTGAAGAAAATACATTTTACATTGAAATTAGTTCATCTTTGTAATTTTAGAGATAATAAATATATCCTTAAATACAATTTATTGATTTAAATTTTATTAGTTTAAATTTTGATATTTTTCAATTAAAAAAATGTTTTAAGATATATTTTTCCTGTAAAAAAGTCTCTAGGAAAATTCATTTTGAGATTTAAGTTGAAAAATAAGTTAAATCTAAACTAAACTAAGTTGAAAAACTAAGTTGAAAAATAAGTTTAATCCTCTATTAAATCTCAAGTTCTTTTTAATATATTTATACTCTATTTATTGAATGAAATTAAAAAAAAAATATATTAAAATTTTGGAAATTTTGAATATAAATTTTGAATTTTTTTTCAGCCATGCACTTCAGGCCCCTTTTTCTACAGAGTAAGAGGAAGAAATGTGTTTAAAAAACTAGAAGATGCCATAGCATATATGAATGATTTGGAAAGTGATTTATCCGATGTATCTGATGACGACTCTGATGATGAATATATGCCTACATAAGCATCTAATATCTTCCATGAAGGAAGCTCAGATGATGAAAAACAAGATCATAATGAAGATGTAGAAAATGACCAAAATGCATCAAATTTTGAATAAAGTGTCTATCTATGTAAGAGCTATAAAAATTTAAAATTCTCTGGAGGACAAAAGAGCCTAATCTTATGCCTTCATCAAATGATGATAAATTTCCTGATTCTAAAGAACCTCTTCCATCTGCTCTTGCATATTTTCAGATTGTTATATCAACAGATATTATAAAATTAGTAGTTGAACAAACAAATCTGTATAGAGTTCAACAAACAGGAACTTCTCTTATGGTGATGGCAAAGGAAATAGAGCAAGTAATACGAATGGACCGTATACCTCATATTAGAGGATATTCAGAAGAGGGAATAAAGTATGAACCAATTGCAGAAGTAATGTCTAGAAACAGATTTGAAAAAAATCTTAAGATTTTTGCATATTGTGGATAATTCTCAAATTGATGATGATGATAGAAGTGACAAATGCTGTAGAGTGCGACCGTGGTTGTCTAGACTTTGAGAAAACATGCTATCCATTCCATGTGAGACCAAGCTGTCTGTTGATGAAATAATGATTCCATTTTGTGGGACAATATATGCCTAAAAAACCTCATAGCAAACGGGGTTTAAAAATGTGGGTCCGGTGTGGACAATCAGGCATTTGTTACGATTTTGATGTTTACACTAGAAAATCTTAAGGTTCCTCTTGAGATCAAACTACCTACGCATTAGGTCTAGGAGCAGGTGTTGTGATGCAGTTATGCAGCACTCTAAGTAACCCAACAAAAACTACTATCTTTGCGGATAACGTTTTCTCTGGAATCCCATTAGTATATTAATTATCCAAGAAAAATATAGGATTTGTTAAAACTTCGAGAGAAAATAGGCTAATGAAATGTAAATTAAAGAACCAGAAAGAAGTGAAAAAAGAATGCAGGCGATCCATTGATTATTTTGTAGCATCTGTAAAGAATGCAGATATCATAGCTGTAAATATAAATATTGTAACCTTAAATATTTTGTTTTTCAATTATTTATTACTTTTAGGATCAAAGAATTGATGGTGTGCATTAGTAGCCAGTGTAATAATTCCATACGGCAAAGATGCCACATATGCCCTAGAGGAATATTTACTTAAGTTAAATGTGACAAATGGGAAAATTTCTTTGTTATAACAAGGACAGAAACTGTTTTAGAGCTTATCATTCGTAAATAACTGTACATAAACTAAACAAAATCTTAAAAAAATGTGTTTGAAAATTTTGAAAACCACTTTATCTGCCCACCTAGTCTACCCTAGTCTGCCCATGGTAGCATATTTGCTACCATTAAAAAATAATTTTTTTTTCACAATTTTTCACCATGTTTGTTTTATTTAAACTAAAATAACACTCTTTTAACTAACAAATAATTTTTTACTAATTCAGAAGTCAAACAACAAAAATCAGCGTTATACCTACAAAATTTTCACAGGACTAGTTTCGATGGTTTTATCGAACCATCATCTTCAGCTGCAAAACCGCAAATGAACAAGATAGGAAGTAATGATTAGATAAGATATATTAGATTTATAAGATATATTAGATATGATATATTAGATATTAGATTTATCTAATCATTATTTCCTATCTTGTTCATTTGCGGTTTTGCAGCTGAAGATGATGGTTCGGTAAAACCATCGAAACTAGTCCTGTGAAAATTTTGTAGGTATAACGCTGATTTTTGTTGTTTGACTTCTGAATTAGTATTTATTCGGCGTGTTATTGTGTCTTAAATAATTTTTTGTTTGGAAATTTCTTGTGGTGGGCATTAGAGGGTTAAGTCAAAGGTAAATTCTTGACTTTTTTTAAAACACTGAGGTTTTCTACTCTTCCATAACCACTGGCATCATTTTAATCGCTCCATCCCTGTTGCCTTTTTAATAACACAATAACCTGTTCCTTTAATTTCTTGAAACTAGTTTCACCTTTAAACATAAATGTGTGCTCCAGTCATGCTCTGTAAAACACACCAGTTTCATCTGTGTTATAAATTTTGTGTGATTTGTATTCTTTTAGAAGCCCAGATAAAAAGTCTTTTAGTCATTTTTCAGCCAAATGATAATTTGCCCCTTGCTTCTAACAATGAAACTTGATGGTATCCAAAGCTTATGTATTTGGTATTTTAGTCATTGTAAAAAGACAGCAATATTTGTTGCTACTGATGAACACTCAAGTTGCTGATAATTTAGAGGCATCTGTGGTCTGTATTTGAAATTTAAAAAAAGAATCATGTCGTATTGATTTTTCCAAATGGTAATTTTTTAAACATGCGGTATAGAGATCAAGTTGTATTTTAGAAATAAACACATAAGTGTATATCTTAAACATAATTTTTACCTATACAACATAAAATTACATATATAAGATGTAATTGCTGTTAAAAACTGTCATCCCTAAAAGAATATATGGAATTATTCCGAGTTGCCATGCAACAGATACTATTCACAATAGAAAACCAATAAGACACTAGTGACACAATAAGCAAAACATAAAAATCTCATGCAATTTGGACAGATGCTAGTGCAGACTATCAGTCATTTATAACCATATGATGGCCTGTATTTGATAAATAAGATTATTCATTGACATGCTAAGCTTTCATTCAAATTACATAGCTGTACCCTCTGTTTAGGATATACTGAATACCAAATCAGAGCAAAGAGCAATGCAAATCTGGAAAATGGAGTATTAGGAATTAGTTTATGTATTCAGAATTACTTTCGTATGTTAGAATATTTGTGTTTTTTATTGGTTAATTTAAATTTCATTATATTGTTAATTGCTCTTATCCTTTCAATTTGTTTATAATTCTTCACAGGTGTATTCTTTTATTTCATCTTAACAGAAAGTAAATTTCGGAATTTGATGAAAAAAGCAAAATTTTATTCCAGAAGAATATACTATAGGACACTAGAAATATTTTTATTACCTTTACTAATGGTGTAAATGTTAATGTTGCTATCAAGAACTAAATGTAATTTCAAAATTTTCTACTGTGGTAAAATTTTCTCTGCTTTGCGAAGCAGAACAGTTTTATGAAACCTTTTGTAAGCTAAAAATGGTATAAAGTGAAGAAGCAATTACCAATGGGACAAATATTTCCAACCCAGAGGAGATAAAAATATCATATAGTGCATAAAAACCTAAAATATTAAAAGCAAAATAATGTAAATGCACATGCCAAATAAATAGAAATAATATATCTCGTATAGTTTAACCTTCCAAATCTAGGAAGATTGCAAGTGCATTAGCATGTATTAAGATAGTGTGGAATGCAAGAGGCTATAATGTAGAAAAGAGTAGTTGTATTTGTCAGATCTGTGTCTACTATTTCCATTGATCTGCCCTATTATCAAAAATCATTGTTTACTTATCTTGGTTTATATGAAAGCCTGAAATATGACACTAGATTTGACTGTTTAGACTATGTCACTGGTGCAGGTTTCTGTAAATTGTCAAAACATTTTGCATAATTGACCCTAAATGTGGATACTTTTTTAGAATAAAAATAATATTTTTTCAACTGCTGATGAAACAAAAGCTGAATGATCTCTCTTTTTGTTTATAGGAAAATCCTCTTCAGATTGGCAGTTTTCCTTGTAGTGTAGACTAATGCAATAAAGTTAAGCTAGTGGACTGTGTGAAATGATATAGAATATACAAATATGCACCAACAAACTATCCATATTTAAGAAAAAAATATATATTATTTTCCCAATGTTATGTTTCTGAAAGATGTTTATAAAAACCTCAAGGAACTCAATATAAACGTGTAGTACAAAAATGTACTGAATTTTTAAAACAGTACACATTTCTAGCATTTCAATACAATTTATTAGCTCCCAAGTAGAAAAGACTGGTGGGTACTTAATGAGATGTCCAATTGTAAATATAGTAAACTTTTTACTTGGCCTTATGAGTAGCTGTGCAATGACATTATTATGAATAATAGTATATGGTATTATTATGAATAATGGTGCATGACATTATTATGAATAATGGTATATTGTAAAAATGAACATGGATCCTATAATTTTACTTATGACATTTTTAGTTACTTTTTTCTACTGAAGTACTGATATTTTCTTTTATGAATTATGTTATTTGGCAACAACCAAATGATAAAAAGCTAAAATTAACTTCTTTCAAGACGAAAATTACCATTTATAATGAAAGATTTATTAAAAACCACATAATGGAATTATATTTCACTACTGCCAAAGACGCAGTAAAAAGTAAAAAGACCGAAAAAGCGATAAATACTAAGAAACTTATGTTTGATTATTTAATTATCCACTGACAACAAAATCGAATTGAATTTAAAATTTTATCAATAAGTTCCTTAAATATTGAGGAAATTAAACATTCTTATTCTCACAACCCTATAAAAATAGTATATAATGGGATGTTATTATACTCTTTCTTTTAAATGGTTGTTGTTATAAGTCTTTTTCACTCACTTGTTGAAACAAAGAGCATCCATATAGATTTACATATATGGAATGATAAAATTCAATAATAGTGTTGCGTGCGCACGGGTTCGTTACAAAACGAATGCACAGGTCCGATTAAAAATGAACAAAAAAAAATTTATTATTATCACAAAATGCTTAAATTCCCTCAGATATCTTGTACAATATCCCAATATCTTCACAGTAGTTATCTATCTAAACTACTCAAAAACGTTCAAAAGAACTAATTCAAAATAGCTACAGAAAGCTAGTCCGATTTCATCGCGAATTCACTTCAGTCAACAAGAGCAGTTTTCTAAACAACAACAAACTTAAAACAACCTACTAACGAAACTGAGAGGTTTTCCTGCAGCTTTTATAAGCTTTTTAAAATCGGCGGGAGAATTTTCTAGTGTTTTCTCGAAATCAAAAAGAAACATTTATTTATTTATTAAATATTAAATGCATGTGCTCTTGTATCTTTCAATTTTCTGGACTTAGCTTTACTTTTAATATTCGTCACGCGCTGCACTGCGCAAGAAATAAAACCATTTAATTTACTATTCAACTAACATAAGCTATTTAAATACGAAATCCTTAACACTGCCCCTTCCCAAGACCTGCACGTCCCGGACAGTACAATCCCTGGACAGGAAGCCAAACTTACAACTGTGGCATAAATGCAATAATAAGCATTACATTACAATAATAAACAACATGAAGAATAAATGCAATAAATAAAACAAATCAAATACTAAATACAAATCAAATCAAATACTCATTTGGAAACAAAAGAGGACCATGGTCTAATACTATTTACACTATGTGCTATGGCCATAGTAATGAGCTAACCTGTCGTAATGAACGACTTTAGGTTTAGAGTTCGAAGACTTACGGATCCGAACCACGACGTCATTCAGTCTGTTCAGCACTGTATATGGACCATCCGAAGGTGACTGTAATTTAGGACTGAGTCCTTTTTGTTGAATCGGGTTCCACAACCACAGCTTGTCTCCTTCCTTGAATTTATGTCCAGTAGCTCTCGTGTCGTATGTGGTCTTCACCTTCTCCGTCGCCAACCGCCACATAAACAGTGTGATGGTAGATGGAACTTCCAAACGTGATGCTCACGTTTAACTTCCCAGCTATGGAGATTTCTTCACCAGACACAGTCTGGAGGGTAACACAGGATGGCGTCCAAATCAAGTTTATCTTTAAATTGTTGAGCTAAATCTTTCCAAATGATCGTAATATTAGCTCCTGTGTCAATGATCATATTGCAAGGAACTCCGTCGATATGCCCATTGATGGATAGTCCATTACTGTTACCACTCGCTGCAGAAATCTGAGCGCTCTAAAAGGGTGTTTTTCATTCTCTGGCAACCTCAGTTCCTCGATATGGTCACTAATTTGTTTCATGCGTTGTTGCTGGGAAATAGTCTCAATTTTCGTACCCTGAGGTGTTCTGCAATTCTTTCGTACGTGGCCTTCAGCTCCACAGTTCCAGCACTTTAGTTTCTTGT